GAGGAGTGACAGGGGGGGGAGGCAAACTTTGTGTTTTCTGGAAATTGCTCGATTTTGAAACTTTTTAAAACACCATCGAGTACAGCGTCGAAGATGATACTAATATATTGGCTCCCAGCCCAAAAAACCTAGTCAAACTTAATTAATAAAATTTTAGTTTGTTGAAGTAATAATTTTAAATTATGGTTTTGGGGCAGTAATTGAATAGCGTAGGGCTTTTTTTGATGCTCTAACCACTAGCGTGCTCAAAATCCCGACAAAAACGTCCAGGAGTCTGAAAAACGCCGTCCGTCGGCCATAGAACCCTGGATTTTTGGTTTTTTTAACCACTAATTTTGATTGTTTAAAGGGATAACGACGGCATAAGGGATCGGTGACGCGAGTGGAAGAAAATGTCTCTGCGTCTCGCCCTTGCGCACGTTCTCTGCCCTGTTGGCTACGTGCCGAAAAGTCGATCAGGGGTGATCGACCGATGCCGTCGGTATCCCTTTAACGCTGCTGCCCTTATTTTTCAAAAATTACGGCATGCGGCGACGCCGCTACACTAAAAATCGGTAAGCCCCATCGAGAAATCATCAAGTTCGGAAATTTAGATTCCGTGTGATGCGCCAAAGATCCTTCTCCGTAACTTTTAATCTTCATGGTCGCAGAAAAGCAACTCCAAGAAGACGCGCGCAAGAAAGCATGACACATCGAAGAGTTCCAGCGGGCGATAACAGCGCTGGCCAAAGCAGAAAGACGCAAAGGTTCAAGGCTTTGTGGTGAAGTCCAGCTCGTTGTCCTAAGTCAGCGTCCTATGCATGTACTTTTTAGCAGAAATCGCCACCACGGGCAAGAAAACCCAGTGTTAGCGCTCATTTCAACGGCTGGCCGCGACCTTCCAAGCCCCTTCCAAAGCAAATCCAAGTCAAAGTCTGTGTTCGTGTTGGGACATGACCCTGGTCAGGTTGTGACACACCGCATCACCTGTGGGGGAAGCTGTAGTTTACTCCAAGCGATGTTTAGTTGACCAAGACACCTCAAATTATGTAGCCTGGAGTACGCTACTTACCCTGCAGGACGTCTATCACGGGGCGCATATTGGTATAGTCTAACAATTGACAAATCAAAGGTACATATTTATCTCGGTGCCACGACACTTGCGGCCCGTCACTTGCGCCCAACAGTTGCGGGCTTAGGCTTAGGCTTAGGCTTAGGCTTAGGCTTAGGCTTAGGCTTAGGCTTAGGCTTAGGCTTAGCTTAGGCTTAGGCTTAGGCTTAGGCTTAGGCTTAGGCTTAGGCTTAGGTTTAGGCTTAGGCTTAGGCTTAGGGCTTAGGCTTAGGCTTAGGCTTAGGGCTTAGGCTTAGGCTTAGGCTTAGGCTTAGGCTTAGGCTTAGGCTTAGGCTTAGGCTTAGGCTTGGGCTTACAAGGAGTCGTTTTTAGGTGATACCAGCGTTGAAAAGCCGCTTCGCGACTTTTCAACCCTGGCCCGGTCTTGGACCGCATGCTGTTCTACGCTTTGCATAATTGCGCTGAATTCAGATGAAAAAAATAAAAATGATTCGCATGTGTCCCTTTATATAGGCGACTCCCCACTTCCGGTCAATGCTAATTTTTCCTAGCAAAGAGGGTTTTACAAAAACTTAAATTTAATATCGAAAATGGCTGATTTTTATAAATCTGATATGTGGGCAGTCATCCCTAGACTATTACGCAACTAATGACATATCGTACCCACCTCTAACTTCTTCCCCTATGGAGATACTACTGGAACAACGATACGGAAGTGGATGCAAAGTGGCACACACACACAGACACTATTTTTTTATATATAGTAGGAGTAGGATTGGAGTTTTTGAGCGAGACCTAGCTAGTTCGATAGAGAAAAAAATTCTGAGCAAGATGTTGTTTTCCAAATCTGCTAACCGTGTATTGTATTCGATAAAAATTAATTTGAAAATCATTAATTTCGCCATCATTTCTCAGCTGATCCGCAGGTTTGGCTCGGGGGGTGCGCGTGAACATAGCCCCCTTCAGACCCTTGAACCAGCATGATGGCGTGGCAGATTGGTAGTGCATTTGCTTCACAAGTTTTATCTTTTTTGCCTTTCGGGTTCGACTCCTAGCTAGTGAAACTCTTTTGCTTTTTGCTCTGTGATGCCAAATATGACCGCAATAGCGTTAAAAACCAAAACGCAAAACCGCTAATCAAAAAAAGTTCCGAACCCGCGATCATAATTTTGCAAAAGTTTGATAGGCGCCTGCACTATCCACTAGGCCACCATCTCATGCGGATGCTGATTCGCATTGCGGCCAATGTCCCGGGCCTGATCCATCGGTGGCCGCGTGGCGCCACGGCATTTTTTCATTAAAATTAATTTTTATCGAATACAATACACGGTTAGCAGATTTGGAAAACGACATCTTGCTCAGAATTTTTTTCTCTATCGAACTAGCTAGGTCTCGCTCAAAAACTCCAATATCACCTAAAAACGACTCCTTGTTAGGGTGCTTAGGCTTAGGCTTAGGCTTAGGCTTAGGCTTAGGCTTAGGCTTAGGCTTAGGCTTAGGCTTAGGCTTAGGCTTAGGCTTAGGGGCTTAGGGCGTAGGCTGGGCTTAGGCTTAGGGGTGACTTGGTGGACCACGGGGCGCTTATCACGCCCTTCATTTGATTGCCGGGTAGTACCATCTATAGACACCCAAGCACCCATGCCTCTCCCGCCACCACCCATGCCTCTCCCGCCCCGGAAATGGCGAAGTTGACGGATAGTAAGACGATCAATCCGACCCACGACCACCCATGCCTGGGGCGGCTCCACCACTGCCGGGTGGGCCACCACTGACGGGTCGGCCGGGAAGAGGGAGGGAATCCACAATGTTTTGGTTGTGATCAAGTTGGGGTGTGGATGTGCAGGCGGTATATTGATAACCGGAGAGCTAAAGCTCTCCAGCCACCACTCAAGGCCCTGACCGGGTAAGGGGAGAAAATTTCTAAGTGTTGAGGACTGTCAAAAATTTAATAAGTTGGTCGTTGCCGGTAGCCACGCTGTCGAGGTGGAACAAGTTGGTCGTTGCCGGTAGCCGCGCCGTCTAGGTGAGGTATCAGGCAAGGGTAGGATGAATCGGGCGTTGCCGCTAGCCACGCTGTCCTTATCATGTGTCAGGCAAGGATAGGATGAATCGGGCGTTGCCGCTAGCCACGCTGTCGACCTGTAGTGAGTTGGTCGTTGCCGCTAGCCAATCGGGTGACAATCCAACAAGTAGAGGGCAAAACGTCCGTTAATGCAGAAAACAGGTGGAATATGCCTGATTAACCCTACGACCTAGACCGACACAAATATTTCACCGCATTAATGCCACCACGACCACCACGACGATACCCAACAACACGATTTGAGACTCTATGTCAAGTTGCAGTTGTGTTTGTGTATTCTGATGTATATCAACTCTGGCAATGGACAAGTACATCAGCAATTTATCTCAACAACATATGCATCAAATTTAGCAAAATTCGTGCGTAAAGAAAGAGTCAAGGAATGAAAGGCTTGGAGCCAGATGGGCGCTGGGGAGCGGGTGTGTGGGACTCAATATAGATACATGGATGGTCGCAATCGGGGATACGGCGGCGAGTTCCCGCAGATTTGACCCAGCGTACTTCTCCACGGGCGCTCCATTTCGCGAATTCGAGGATGGCGTCACCACGGGCGTCCTTCGATCGTACCTTTGCCTCCACCACATCTTCTGCATTAGGATGTGCACATAGTCGCCAACCCTAAACGCAAAATGCAAAAATGATAATCTAAGCTTACTTGAGATCCTTCTTCGTGAGACCAAGGGTCGACAACTCGACGTCGTATCTCTTGCCGGGGAAAAACGCCGAAATGGGGCACACATTAATCATGTCTTCGTCACGGTGTTCACAATTAGCGCGACGCGATACCTTCTTGGACGGAGCACCGTGGTTTTGTTGAGTGCCGGCCGTCTAAAAAGGACTTTGAGCTTAAAAATGAAAAAGTACCTCGAACACAAGTTTGACACGGGTAGCGTTGGCCGGAATCGTAATGGTCTTGGTGTGCTGGATGGGCAGGATGTCTGCCGACGGTAAATCATTGTTGAGAACGTCGGGCAGCGTGGGATGTGGCATCTAAGTTGGAATGATTATAGACTAAACCAATCGGAATACCTGCATATTGAGGGTGATGGCCTTCACGTCTGGCGAGAGATGAATCACATGCTGAGCTTGCTGGTTTGGTGGCGCGACCGACTGACGGCGGCTCTTCGGGGTGACCGGTAGCGAGTTCATTCTTGCTTTAAGCTTGTGATTCGCTAAAAATGTATAAAACGTATCCGAACGGCTCGAACGGTGATCAGAAAATATTTCTTTGGGTGATTAGAACCCAGCTAGAAAGACGGCACACCCCTTCTAACAACAATTATTTATCTTCAACAATTGAGAACTTCAACAAGCAATAAATGGGTATCAAGCAACAAACAGTGTGCGTGGTTGGGGACGGGGGGAATTAGCACGAACGAAGGGAACTTAAAATTTTGGCGGAAAATATAGGTTAGAAGCGGGTCGAGATCAAGCGGTTAGCAACAAGGCGATATTGGGATCGAGCAATTAGTAGAATAATGGGAAAATATCGGCATTTAGGGGGTCAAATTTTTGGAGCAGCATGGCTGCTGGGGATCGGGGTGGGGGGGCAATGTAGATGAACGGGTGGGTCGCAACTGGGCATACTGCCGTGTCGTTGCGAGAATTGGTACCAGCACACTTGTCCATTCGTCGACCCATTGCGCGAATTCGAGTTTGGCACCGCCACGAACGCCCTTGATCGTACTCTTGCCTCCCGCCAGGCCATCTTCAATGCCGTGTCCTTCATCAGGAGGAGCAAATGGTCGCCAACCCTAAAAACCCAATTAGGAATTGCAATAAAAGCTTACTTGAGATTTTTCTTCGTGAGGCCAAGGGTGGACAACTCGACGTATTTCTTGCCGGGGAAAAACGCCGAGTCGGTTGGCACGTTGTCAAAGTGCTCGTGGAGGTGTCCGCAGTTCCAACTTGTTGGGGTGATTGGCGGGAGGGCAGAGTCCGAGGCTTCGGACTTGACGTCGATGTTGCCATTGTAATCCGAGTCCTCGTCACCGACGGTTGCTTCAGTGCTGACAAACTAAGAAACTTCAATTAGTTAAATTTCCACTGCCGTTACCTCGCGCTTCACCGCCGGGCCGTCGTTGCGCATGGCGTAAACCATCAAACGCTTCCAGAAGCCGGTTAAACGAATTTTGCAAAGATTCGCCCTGGACTGATTTGTAGCATTTTTTTGCAGGGCTTTCCAATGGTGTATAACTCATCGCAATCGCAAATTCCTACGTTCCGAAACAGCGTCCGAATACGCCAACAGCGTTTGGATCTGAATTAAGCGTTTGGTTGTTCGAGCTGCTATTCCTGAGCTAACCCGGGTCTCCCAGGTCTCGCACCAAACTTTTTCCGGCACTATTTTAGATGCGCTTTCGAATGGCATGCATCGCTACGCAGAGATTTCGGAAAAAATTTTGGTACCTGAAAAAGTCCATGTGGTCCCCTTACCTCGTAAACCAACAACGCTTCCAGAAGCCGGTTAAAACGAATT